GGGCATGAGGCTGTTATGTTGGGGCATGAGGCTGTTATGTTGGGGCATGAGGCTGTTATGTTGGGGCATGAGGCTGCTATGTTGGGGCATGAGGCTGTTATGTTGGGGCATGAGGCTGTTATGTTGGGTCCCAACCTGGCCCAGTGGGCCCTAACCTGGCCCAGTGGGCCCTAACCGGGCCCTGTGGGTCCTAACCGGGCCCAGTGGGTCCCAACCTGGCCCAGTGGGTATTAACCTGGCCCAGTGGGGACCTAACCTGGCCCAGTGGGGACCTAACCTGGCCCAGTGGGTATTAACGTGGCCCAGTGGGGCCCTAACCTGGCCCAGTGGGTATTAACCTGGCCCAGTGGAGACCTAACCTGGCCCAGTGGGTCCTAACCGGGCCCAGTGGGTCCTAACCTGGCCCAGTGGGGCCCTAACCTGGCCCAGTGGGCCCTAACCTGGCCCAGTGGGCCCAAACCGGGCCCTGTGGGTCTTAACCGGGCCCAGTGGGTCCCAACCTGGCCCAGTGGGTATTAACCTGGCCCAGTGGGGCCCTAACCTGGCCCAGTGGGGACCTAACCTGGCCCAGTGGGGACCTAACCTGGCCCAGTGGGGCCCTAACCTGGCCCAGTGGGTATTAACGTGGCCCAGTGGGGCCCTAACCTGGCCCAGTGGGTATTAACCTGGCCCAGTGGGGACCTAACCTGGCCCAGTGGGGCCCTAACCTGGCCCAGTGGGTATTAATGTGGCCCAGTGGGGCCCTAACCTGGCCCAGTTGGGCCCTAACCTGGCCCAGCGGGGTCCTAACCTGGCCCAGTGGGGCCCTAACCTGGCCCAGTGGGGCCCTAACCTGGCGCAGTGGGGTCCTAACCTGCCCCAGTGGGCCCTAACCTGGCCCAGTGGGGTCCTAACCTGGCCCAGTGGGCCCTAACCTGGCCCAGTGGGCCCTAACCTGGCCCAGTGGGGCCCTCACCTAGCCCAGTGGACACAGATGTACAGGATGGCCCCGAGGCCCAGCACGAGGATGAGGAGGGCCAGGGCCACGAGGCCCAGCTGCAGGCCCGGGACCGCCGCCATGATGGATTCCGGGCCCCCGCCCGACAACACGGGCCCGCCGAACACCGCGTCCCGTGACCCGGGGGACACCCGTGACTGCGGGGGTGAGGGGGTGAGGTCAGGGGGGGAGGGTTTAAAAGCAAATTCACCATCACCAATAATTAATAATTAATATGAATAACTCATAAATAATATAATAATAAAAAATTAAATACATAAAAATATATTATCATGAAATATAAATAATTGCACTATTACTGATAATAATAATATGAATATATATTAATTTATCATCATTAGCAGCATGATCGCCCCCCCCCACCTTGATGACGTCCCCCCCACTGGGGGGCGGGAGGCTGGCGCCCCCCACTGCCTGCAGGAGAGCGTGGCGCAGCGCCCCCGGGCTATCTGATGCTTGCGACATCACCCTGCATCATTACCATCACCATCATCGTTATCATCATCATTATCATCATAATTATCATCACTATTACTATATTCATCATCATCGTCATCATCATCATCATCATATAGAGTTTCAACAGTTTTTCAAGTTTTCTAAAAACTTCCTTTTCAATTACACTTAGGCGTCGAATAATGATTCTGGATAAAAAAGACACGTAGATCAGATTTTATCTATACAAATTGAGGAAATTTGACATCTCTTGGTATTTTACATTGATGAACGGATTATTTTGTCTAATAGCTATTGCCTCAGCAATTCTAAGGTCTAATACTTCAGAAAAAGAATAAGTTACAGAGAAACAATCGGATATGTTGTTGGGAACAGGGCTGTTATGGTCTTCAACGAAGTGCTTGTGGATACTGCTGCTACTATAACGGTGCTGTTTACTTCTTCGTTCCAAAGTACAAGTGGTGTATCCGAGATATGAGGCATTACAGCCATCAATGGGGCACACGAAACGATACACAACACGAGCCCTTGTGGAACTGGTTTCCGGGGTCTTGTAGAAAATGCAGATGAAAGTTTAATAGGTCTGTAGAATCCAGTTACCGAGACTGATTTGTGATCATCTGTGTAAGTAATTTCTGGTCTTGCTTGAAAGTCGAAAGGTTCGTAAATTCTACAATATAATTTATTTCTGATTTATTCATGTCGTCGCTATTAGTAGCGACGAGGGTCTTATTGACGATTCGTTCCACTATGGCTTGGGGATAATTACAGTTAGCAAAAACTTGTTTAATTCTCTGAATTTCCGAATGAAACGATTGCCAGTCGGATGAATATTTCCATGCCCTATTGACAAGGGTTTTCACGGCAGACTTTTTATAGTTTAGAGGTGAACAGGATTGGAAACTGGAGTAGATACCCTTGTCAGTAGGTTTGATGTAGACTGCTGTGGATATGTTTCTATTGTCTTGAATACTGAAATTGATATCCAAGAAATGAAATTGATTGTTGGAGGACGGTGCTTTTTGGGTAAATTTCAGAACAGAGTTGCGGTGCAGGCGTATTTTGAACCAATTCAAATGAGACTTGTTTTCAAAGATGGCTATTATATCATCAACATAACGTCTGTAAAATAGCGGGTTGGAGGCTATATTTTCATTCAGTAATTTAGTTTCCAAATTGGACATATAAAAGTCTGCAAAGGTTGGGCCGAGTGGGGATCCCATGCTTACTCCATCAAGTTGCGTGTAGGTTTGACTATTGAATTCAAACAGAGTTTTGGTCGTGCAGATGTGCAGCAATTCACGCAAGGTAGCAGCCGGTAGATCCGGACATGGCAGTTCAGGATGGTGGTAACATCGTTCCATGATAATATCGATAGTTGGTCCAACGGGAACATTCGTGAACAGGCTCTCCACATCCAGGGAAACCAACTGATTACCCGAGGGTAGGACTAGAGAGTCAGTTTCTAGAAATAGTTGATCAGCATTTTTTAGGATGAATGAATCATTGATGAAAGGCCGAATGAGCTTATTTATTATCTGAGATATTTCATGCGTGACTGTGCCGGACATGCTTATTATTGGACGTAATGGTGGATCTTCTACATTTTTATGAATTTTTGGCAACCCGTAGAGATGTCCGTTGCTGAAATCACCAGTCCGCTTGATTTTCCAGTACCACGATGCGTGATTTTGCTTCAGGTTATTGGCAATGTTGTTAATCTCATCTTTAACTTTTTGCGTTTGGTTAGTATAACATGAACGAAATTTAGTAGGGTCGCTCAAAAGCTCAGATAATTTTTGCATATAGACTGCTCTGTCTAATATTACTACACCTCTACCCTTATCGGGCCTCTGGATGGTAATTTGGTAGTTGGTCTTGAGATCTTATGTTTTTTTCTCATCATCAGATATAGTGGGTCTTTGGTTTTATCCGGATTGCGGCGTATGCCAAAATATTTCAATTTTGTTTTTAGGTGATAAACATTGTTTATGGTGATTTTATTTTGTTGCTTGGATTCCAGAATTCGCATAAAAAGTTTTTCCATTAATATCTGGCGAGTGATGGTATTACTTTTCTTCCTTAAGCAAAAGTTGAGTCCACTATTAAGTAAAGTTTCTTCGCTCGTGCTCAATGCATACCTGGAAATATTAAGTATGGAGCTTTGGCTGGCAGTGAGGAAAACTTCATTGCCATACAACTAGCGTAATTTGCGGTTGTGATAGAACAAAATGTCTGACTCATGTTGGGCTAAGATCCTTTGCAACAACTTGACGCAGGAATAGAAATACAGCGCAGATACCCTCTGCTTCAGAACCAGAGTATGACGCACGCTGCCCTTAGACGCCATGTGAAGTTCTGAGATCTTCTTATCTTATATGTATTTTTATCTGAATTTCTATTCTTTCCAAATTATCATCTTATTCACTCTGATGATGGCTAAAGTATAGATAGCCGAAACGTTAGAATAAATGGATTTTTATCTCAGAACTGCGATCGTTTTTTTTTTCATCCAGAATCATTATTCGACGCCTAAGTGTAATTGAAAAGGGAGTTTTTGGAAAACTTGAAAAACTGTTGAAACTTTATATAAAAATAAAGTCTTATTTTTATATATTATTATTAATTATTTATGATTTATTATTTCTGATTCTATGACTGCAAAGCATCTGATATCTAATACAAAACGTTCAAAGGTTTAAGCAATTCATACTTCAGTGTGACGTAAATCAAAGCAGAGCAAATTTTTTGCACTAAACATATCTAATATATAAAGTTCTGTGTGCAGACGAAGCTAATGTGCAAAACAGAGCAATGCGGATTTTGTAACTGCGGCAGCAACAGAACGTCTTCTCTTAAGTCCATTCAAAAACATATTGCTTATTTAATTTAACAACAATCGAGGAACCTTCATCCGTCCTCTAGTTCGAGCAAGACGAGACGAACGTAAAGAAACTCCATTCTGCCCAAAAAGATGAACAAATAACACGGATAAATAAACATTGAAATGAATAAGACCTCAAAATAACAGTATTACAATAATGCATGTAAACACAAATGACACCTTACCAAACTGCCCTCTATATAGTACCTAATAATAGCGCACTGCAGCCTACAGCTCAGTGAGCCTCGCAGGGACACATAAGGCGGAGTGCTCAGACTTGACTGAACAGGCCTAACGAAACATTAAATGCCTCGCTGTAGTATGGATATAATCTTGAACGTTTAAACGTTGAATTTACGCTTATTAAACGTTTTTTAACGCTAGTTATCTGAAGGGAAGATTTCTTTGTGAATAGTTGTTGCTTCCTTTAGATAAAATAGTGAACCGCTATTTGCGAACCTTTTTTATTAGAGCCTTTAAAAATGTTGCGAGCGATCTCAATGACATGAGGGCTCTGTATCACTAATATATCAGAAAATTTTCGACTTCAACTTTGATTAATTAGATAATAATTGCCCAAGCATTGATTGATTTACCTCAGTTATGCCGATACTTTAACTGCGGGCGCCCCACCAAACCATCCTGAATATTTCGAAATTAGAGAACTGCCGTTAAATCACCAAACTCGAAAGTAATTTGAGTAATTATTTCATTAAGCGCTAACATTCTACCTAATGTAAGATGGAAAATTGTTAACTGTCATTTCTGCATTCAAATAATTTCTTCCTGGTTAGAAAATAGTTCCTCCATCCCGGTGATGATAAACATATCCTTGTATTAGCCTTCCTCGTTTTACCCGGTAGAGACGCATGACCTTGATGACGTACGAACCTCAGACGAACGCGTTAACGTTCTACTTATTTAGCACTCCAAACCTATAAACTGTAAGCCGATATATTCTCAATAAGTATAAGTATCTTATCTGTACTTAACTCGTGCCTCATTTATCCTCATTTGTTCACGGTACCCGAACCTACCTCAGGTAGTTAATAATTAAATCAGATACGCCTAAAAGTGCATAGAATAGCACGACGTACACTAAATGGCTGTTGTCCAATTACGAAATCGAAGGAAATCGTTTACTGCCATAATGTGGACACCAAAAATCAGTTCACAACTTGCGACTATATATGGTCATCGCATAATTTGGAGATCGACCATATTGATTGCCAAAATAAATTATGAAAGTTACATTCTTTTACTTTTATCTTTTCATTAAGATTTCAGTGATTTAGCCTTTATTAAAGTTTTCAGTGTACGTGTATGATTGGAAGCTCTACCGTCATATTTTATTGATCTTATCTGGAACGATCTTGATAGATTGCGAGATTATTTTTGAGGCAGCGTCAAATTCAAATGTTAAATTTAAATCACTATGCGTACTTAATATCACGACGCACGACAGTAAAGTTTTTAATTTGTTCGAGCAAGAGGTGAGCTGCCTCAGAAGTCTACCAGCGCTGTTCAAGGTTGGTCTCTTTTCTTAAACCTGTTCGTGAAACTTAAAATAATTCGCTTAAAACATTCGTTATTTATACAACATTAGATGAAAAAGTGTGGAGTTGTTATCTGAAGTTGTTCATGTTTCCAGCTGCAAGATTCCTTCGTCTTTCCCGCATAAAAACAAGCAAAAGCTGTACATAGATTTGTAGGCTCTCGACTATACCTGCTTTTCCTGGAGCTTTTCTATCGTTCATTTGTACAGCGTCACGAAATTTATAATCATAAATTCCGACTGTTCCGCTCTTGGAATTTAATTCAGTTCCTAACAGGTAAAAATCTAGGCTTCCGATTACTTTTCTCCGCGTATTTCAGGGGAAATTGTTTTCGCCGAGCCTTGAACGAATTTTCGCCTTATATGTAGTGCTGCGTACGTTGGCTTATATGTTGTGTTGCGTACAAATTAAGAAGTTCACGTCTATGCGATTTACCGAAGTTGTTCTAGGGGCTGAGGTAGAATAAATCGTTATAGCCCATTTTTACCACGTTTTTCTTAGCTCGCTTTCGTGTCTGTGATGATCAAATCTTGCAATCGATATTTCACCAACTTTCCCATTAGCTAGCGC